TAATTATGTTACATTAAATGTAACATAATTAGTGATTGACAAAACACAAATGGCGCCCTCTCTACTGGTTAACCTATCACTCTGTGTGATGCAACAAAGATTCAAGTTACCCTTTGAACAAACCTCCAACACCTCTCAGAAGAGAACGGGATTTGTTGACTTACCACAGCAGAGCGCTGATCAGACTGCGTGGAATTCTGGGTTTCTCACCGAATTTATATGCAACCAGTAGGGGGCGCCAAAAACCACCAATTACAGGACAATTATGAAACATATTTCATTTGTATATCTACCGACCCCACACCCGTGAAACTTGTATCATGCCACAGTCCTCCACGTTTGCCTCAGTCCTCGCACGCACAAGGGTAAATAAATAGGGTTTCCCCCCGCCCCCATTTGGAATTGTTTCTGAATTGTTCGTGCTTTGCTAGAGCAGGGCTGCAACACGTCGATCGCGGAAGGTTTTGAGTCGATCTCGGCATTAGGTGACGAACTGAACGCCGCCGGGACGCTGAGACCAGCACGTCCTCCTCTGACTGGCTTAAAATATTCGTAACTTTATTAAAGAAGAAGAAGAAGAAGAAGAAGAAGAAGAAGAAGACCAACAACAACAACAACAACAACAACAACAAATCAACAAAACATGTTCAAATTATTGATCCAACAAAAATAATAATCCCTTATTGTTTCAACAAGGTTCGCAATTCTGCGCGTTTCGGTTCCTTTACCAGAATAACTAGCAGAGCAGGAGTTTAAAATTAATTAATCTACCACATCTGTCTCACAGCCGCTGTCGTCTCTGAACATGCAATAAGCGACAGGACTAATTATCTCGTTCGTCTCTGTGAGTATACGTCATTCACAACAAACATCAAACATGGTAAATATGTTTCATTAAGTATTTATCAAATGTGGTGGGATGGTGTTCCACCCTCCCCCGCTCTGTGCGCCGGGTGCAAAGCTGTAGCGCTTTGGACGCTCTGCTGTCTTGTCTCGTCTTCCCGTTGTTTGTTTGGGCCGCTCTTGACTAAACCTGTTGCGGATTGGACGGGTTGTGTGGGCGGGGCTTTACTCCTCTGGCCCCCTCGAAGGGCATTTGGAAGCGGATGACAACGATTTGTTCCATTGTTTTCTTTTAGTTTTGTTTTGTGATTGAAGTTACTCATTTGTTTTTGTTTGATTTACTAATTTCTTTTGCATTGCATGTTTTATTTTATTATTTGGAATAATTGAACTTGTCTGCCTTTACCTTTTGTGTTCCTTTTGTTCCAGGGACCGAGTAGTGGGCCTGAAGCCTCATTTTTAAAGAGAGAAATGTT